TCTTCCCCACTTTATACATAGTTCAATTTTCCTTCTCTCCTTAACTTTCTATCGCACTTTTTCCAATGTTGTTAGTGTTTGCGTTTATGAATATTGTGTCATGGTGCAAAATTTTCCGTGAAATATTGTAATCCTTTTGACAGTGCTATAGGTAGTGTAAAGACATGAAGAATTACCTACATTTACAAATTGGTGAGAAAAATCCAATAATTTGCAAGAAATTAAATGATTTGGAACAAATAATATTTAGAGGTATAGTCACAGGGTTGGACAAACATTGGAATCTAATCACATTATTAACACTTAAGTGAGAATTAGACACTGTCACAAAGGCCCTAGGAAGATTAGTGTGTTCCTAGTGCGGGTCTTTGTGGGCACAATAAATATACCCTTGAAGAAGGTTTTCAGTAAACTGTGCACTAATTTCCTATATTTAGATGTGTTGGATGTAAGTATGGATGGCTGACAGTGACTGTGCTACAGCAGGTAGGTATTTACTGATCCCCAGTAAGGTTAAAGAATCCACTAAAGATAAAAACTGGAGTTAAACCTACATATCCACAGTAAATCTTTTCCGTAGCAAACTCCAAACTGTCCAAGAACTTTTCAAAGAAATCCTGTTTAATTTGGTGCTTAGAAACAGAGCTAAGACAAAACTAATCAGATTTGATAAGATCTCACATTCAAGATGGAATACACCATAAAAGTCACAATCAGGTAAGCAACTTAAAGTGATTTAACGTCTATGTGCTGTGCTTAGGACAAACTCAAGCTTTAAGTGATTGCTGTATCTTCAGAAGTTAAACATGCCCCAATTTCCAAGGGAAATTTTTTCTTAAGTAACATAAAGACAGTGAATACAGTGTTACAGCAATTATCTTATATCTATTCCCTTAAAATATACAGACTTTTTCAAGCAATACATTTTTAATGATTTCGATTTTACAATGTGCAATCTTAAAACTACAAGCATCATTAAACAGTTTGTGTTCACTTGGTTGTCATTTTTTTTCTTGACAAGTAGGAATAAACTTACCTTTTAATAAACACACAGGCAAAAGGAAAGATTGGAAAATATTTTTATAAAGTATTAGAGTTTTAATTTAATTTAATTTTGCTAAATATTAAGCACTATATAAAGAATAACAATATTTTAAAGGATTTGACTGTCTTCTGGGATCTTTGGAATAAAATTGAAGGTTCAGCATGTGTGGCAGGTATGTGGAATAAACTATTTTAGAGCAATGATTTTTTTAAATAGGTGTTGTGTTTCAGTGTATAACTTACTAATAAAATATTTCTATATTAAGCCTTTTGAAGTTAGTTTCTATGTAATTAATGTACACTGAAACTCAACGTCATATAACATCACAAATAGAATGAAATCTTTGGAGCACTTAAAACTTAATACAAAACTGGACTCCTAGCTCTTTGCCCATCAAAGCTAGTCTTCACCTCAGCTTTCCTATTTTTGTGAATAGTTCTAACCTTTTCCACTCATACAACTAGAAAATTTCCACACTTTGTCTCCAACATATCCTAAAGAAGACAAGCAGACATGAGTTTTTGACCTTACCAAATCAACTGGACCTCAATTTGTCTTTATCTAATCTTTTCTGGAATCTATCTACCCTTTCCAACCACTCCTCCTCATATACAAGCAGTTGTTGTCAATTCTTGGACAATTTGTAGTCTATTCCTGCTTCCTTGTCTTTGATACTGCATTAAATGCATCATTCCGGCTGCTGTTAGAACTTTTCCATTGAATTGCTGCCCAGTTTAAAGAAAGGGAAAAATGGGGGGTGGGGGAAGAAAAGAAAAGAAAGAAATCTTTAAAGGAAGAACAAGTATCAAAAAAAAATTTTTGGTGCTGTTTACAGAATTCAAATATCCCTTTCAAACTCCCCAGATAAAACTAGCTGATGGCTTCACTTCTTGCAACACCTTGAGGGTGCAATCCCTATAGAAGGAGTACAGTGAGGTAGCTGAGAGCATGGATTTACAGCAAAATAGCCTGGGTACAAGTCAAGGCTACTGACTTAGACTAGCTGTGTGGCTCTGGGCAAATGGAATAACATTTTAGTTCTTTATTTGCTTCATCTATTGTGGTGTCACTCTCATTAACTTTCTTTCTACATTAAATTAAGCCAGAAAGGGTCTAGGAAAAATGCAGTAAAGAACCAGGGAAATCTGTCTACACATTACCACTTGTGTCTTTGTGACTGATGTCATTGTGACTAGTTTCAGTTGTTGCCACTGATTTGCAAGTTCCATGGAGTCTGGTGCTCTCTATACAAAGTAGATTTGCAGTAGATATTTGTTAAAGTAAACTTTAGGATGTAACAAAGGTGTGCTCAACTATTTAAAGGGGAAAATGGCTTGTGTTGATGAACTCATCATCAGTCACTTCTTTTCTTTAAATCAACTTTATGTAAAATTAAATACAATACAGTTTCTTTAATTTACACACAATACAATGCACCCATTTAAAATATGTAATTTGACACCTTTCGGCAAATGGATGTGTTCATACAATCACCATCTCAATCAAAATACAGAATATTTCTTGGTACCTTTCTGCAGTCAGCCCCAAGTTTGTCCAGACCTCAGGAAGACATTGATCTGCTCGGTCTTTGTAGATTATTTTGCCTGCCAGTTATTTTTAGTTTTTCAAGCTAGAATGCTTTTTATGTTCTGACCTGAATGATGTTTCTACATCATCAACTCATATATAAACATGCAAAAGGAAAGTGTGTAAGTTGCACAAATTGTTCAGATGAAGAGGAAGCGCATAAGGATGGATTTTACTTGAAACTTAGTTTGAAAATGGAAAACAGTTTTTTCACATCCATAGCTGTTTAATTTCTGAAACCTGGCTTTTTTGTTCATTTGTTTGGATTATTTCTTATTCCTTCCTTTCAATCACAGTTCTAACCTTTACAGCTTGGAAGCATGAGTCCCAGAAATGGCAATACTGAGCGCTAGCAATAAACGCCGCTTTGCTGGACCCAAGGTCTCCGTCCTACTTCTTGGCCCACTGTTCTTTATGGACATTTAATTAGTTCGTAGATTTTAGGTTGCAGAGAGGATACCTAAAACCTATTTAGTTCGGGTGCTCTCCCAGGGGGTATACTACATGGGTTTTTGGAGAGCTTTGGTTATGGATTACAAACTTTGAGGGTAACACTTTCAAAGCCTCTCCCAGGGAAAAAGGATGCCACAGAGGATCTGCCATGATGCTGGGCGTTGGTGGTCACAGACAAGCAGGGACGGGAGCCCAGGTGGCCCGGGGAAAGGGGCAGGAGGCCGGACGTGGCCTGCAGACTCAGGGCTTGACACACACTCTCACACAAAAGAGGCCGGAAAGTGTCCGGAGGAAGCCTGTGCGTCACGGGACAGAGCCGGGACCCTGCCGCGCCCGCGCAGCCTTGCTTCCCGGTGCACCGCCCGCACTGCCAGCCGCGCTCACCGCCACCGCCAGCACCGCCACCTCCGAGGTCGCCGCCAATGAAACTCCTCCCGCTCCTAGGTGAGTGCTAAGCGCCGGGTCCCGAGGTCGCTGGAGGGAACGCCACTTTTTACAAGTTGCAGCTCAAGTGGCAAGCGTATTTGGCAGACCCCGAGGAAAACTGATGCAGTACCTCTCAGGATGGTTTTGCCTTGGCCTTTCAACTCTGGAGCTTGATATTCAAAGCTAGAGACTCTTACCTTTTTATTCCTCCTGGCCAAGTCCCCAAAGTCCTCAACGCCTCAGACTTTGACCTTTCTTGAGATCTCCCCCACCAAGAAACTTGGGGAAAATCCAAACCATTAATACTTGAGGGAGGCTTCCTGACATTTTAAGGGGATTGCCTGCTTAGACTTTAGGTTCATTTAAAATACCATTTTGATGATGCCGTGCGGTAAGACAATAATAAATCACATCTCTGAAGGCGAATTAATTCTGGTTTAGACAGTACATAGAGTCTAATGCAGGGCCGGGATGTAGAATTGAATGTTTAAGAATCTCTTGGCACCAGATAAGGACAGTTTATCTCAGAGGACTGTTTTCAGAACAATGACTTCATGATTCATAGCTGTTCATCTAAGCCTTCCCTTGAGAAGGCCTAGAACAACACCACAAAAAGGAAACAGTCATGTTTTTTCTTATCTTTCTCTAACAAGCCACAAAAATATCTTCCAACCTTATTTCATAAACTTTAAATTGAAGCCTTTGTATGTTTCATTTCATGTTTGTTGCTTCATATTTGGATGATGTTCCATTTCTGAAAGAAACAAATCTTTTGCACAGTATGTTTAGATTTGGTTTAATTTCCCTAAGGTAAGAAAAAAGTAAAAGAAATTTTGTGATTAAAAAAGGCAGAGGTAACAATCACCAAATCATAGCGGAGGGACAGTACTGTTTGTTTCTTCTGGCTGTTAAGACTAGCAATCTTAAAATAACAATGATTTCAAATTTGAAAGATTCAAATAGCTAATTCTACCTTGACTTGTTCTGGGAATTCAAAAAAAAAATTACCCCTGAGACAAGGGAAAACTGCTTTACAATCATGCAGTTACCTACCGTTTAAAGTATCTCACCTTGGGGCAAAGCATGATACTGGATCATCATGGTAAACGGTTTTATCACAAAGCTGGATTGTTTATTACATTATACTTTGTTGAAATTTTCTTTTGATAAAGGTTGAAAATGAAAAGGCAGGCCGTAATGTTCTTGCTTCATTGTTGCTTTGTGCTATTATTTAATAGCTGTTTTCTTTGAGAGAAAGTTTCATAACTCCATTTACCTACATGCGAAAGGAAAAGATGCATATTTGTATTATTGGTACTCTTAACTCAGTAGATGGGAGGTGGGGTTTTCTTTCGTTTTTGGAAAAAGATGATATTTCTCTATTTATTCAGGTGGGATTTCCACTTTGCTGAAGTGTTCCCATACTCAAATTGCACCAAAACAACCTTGTCACCCAAATGCCAAAATGTTGAAAACGCAATGCAGCAGAGCTTGGCTACTGCAATGTGGGGATTTTCAGGAAATGGTGTCACCATTTGTGAAGGTAAACTAGGTCTGATTACTTCTTTTGATCTTACTGTGAACTAAATTCTGACATAGGATTTTCTGTCCTCTAGAAACTAACTTTTATTACTGTTAAGAGTATCATACTTTTGAAAAAAACAAAGCTTAATTAAACTAAACAGTAAGTTTGAGCTTCCTGTCAAAATTTATACTTTATTATTGATTTTTAATGATTCCATGCTCATGGGAAAGAATGGGGAGGGAGGAGGGAGGGGAGGGAAGGGAGGGGAGGAGCAGGGAGAAAAGGGACAAAGAGAGAGAGATCCTGGAGTGGGAAGACAGAGAGAGAGGAGAGGAGAGAGATAGAGAGAGAGAGAGAGAGAGAGAGAGAGAGAGAGAGAGAGAGGAAGAAAAAGGAGGAGGAGAGGAGAAGGTAGGAGTAGAAGAGGAGAGGAGGGGAGTGGAGGAGGAGAGAGGAAGGAGGAGAGTGATAGCAAATCAGGAAGGAGAGAGGAAACACAGAGACAGAAGTGAATTTTGAGAAAACATTATTTTTTTCTGAAGTAGATTCCATTCATAGAGACTGCTAGAAAGGGACCTCCTCGGGTGCAGTGTAGCCCATTGACAGAACATACAGAACACCTTCTGATAATCCAATTTATGTGATTTAATGTCTGTGGTTTCCACCACCACCTGCATTCCTTCTCTTCTCTCAAGGTTCACTCAGTCTTTATTCTCTCTCATTTTCAACAGAAACTGGTTTTAATTAGGTCAGTGATGCAACATTTATCATAAGAGGGAAGAAAAAAACTTCTAAGTCATATAAATATCTTAAAATATAATTAAATATATAATTAAATAGCAAGTTCAAATTATAGCTGTGTGGTATGATACTCCTAAGTCTATTTAAGATAACATGGACTTTTTCTAATTATTTTACATTGTTAATATTGCATGTGGTTCCTTATAGCATAAACAAGCTCTATCTCAGGATTCAATTTGATAGGCTGTTAAAAAAGATAAATATGTAGTATATATTAAAACCAACCTCATCATAATTAGATTAATGTTTTTAAAATGTACAGCAAGATTAGTTTGCTTAATGGTGCATTAGATCAGGTGTTTCAGTTTTTGAGTACAGTCAGAATTTGTAGTGTACTCTTCTATATACACTATGAAATTCTTTCCATAAATAATTGTAGATTTTTTATTGTGCATTTAATTGAATGGCATTATCGCAAGTTAATAGCATAGTGACCTTCAAAATATTGCATCAAATATATTAATGTGCTTTTCTGCTAATCATTACAAATTGTACAATAGCACATCATACGTAGCCTTGCCTTTTTGTTAGATAGTTTTCAACTGTTAATGATGATCATGATTAACGTCAATAAATTTTCCCAGTTGGACCTTCAGCAACCAACCATTTGTAATCATACTTTCAATGATTTCTTTTAAAAGCACACTTGCCATTAACCAATGCAGTGTTTCTCCAGTCCCTGCCTAAGTCAACAGTCAAAGTACAGAAAATACTTTCCTTTGGGGAAACTTCAAGACTTTTTGACGTGCCATTTCTTCTCACTCAGAGCACAATTTGTAATGGGAATTATTTTCTTTTTAAGTTCATGTTAAATTTAAACCCTTTTTCTATATAAATAAAGCTACACATTCACTTGCTTTAGTATGTATCATCTAAGGTTTGTAGTGTCTTACAGTGGTTTTCATCCTCTTTACATCTTATTTCTTCCCTAACAAATTTTGACATATTTTTCAGTAGGTATACTACTATGTTCTTTAGAATTAAACTTAGAAGATTACCCTCCCAATTGTTAATTACTCTAGGTTATATTTTGAGTTTGTAGAATCTTTGTTGGCTTTTTCATTTCTAAAGAGGTTCCTCATGTATCTTATTCTCCAAGATTGATATTTTGTCAATAAGAAATGTCTGTATAGGAGGTTAGCTACAGAAGAGGCCTACTTCATTAGAAATATAAATTTTTAAAATTTTACCATCATCACATCACCATCAGGATCATTATAAAATTTGGCTGTCTTCAGGTGGTAGCTTGATCTCACCAATTGTACATCAGGAACTACTTTTGAATAAGTCAGGTAGAACTTGTTTTACATGGTTCTAAAGATATAGGTGTTGATAGTAGTGATTTTATTTTATTTAATCATCTTTTCATTGAACATATATTTTTGATCACCTTCATCATTATCATCATCAATATTATGAATAAAGTTGCTAATATCTACTGTCTGCTAAATCCAAGGCATTAATTAGCACCTTACCTTCTCTGTTATCTTTCTCACTTTATCTATGAGGATATAGTCCTCAAGAGGTTAAGTGAACAGCTCAAGTAATACACCAAAGAAACAGTGGAGCCTATATTTTAACCTAAGGCTGTCTGATTCTCTGGCCTATATTCTTTTTCTTTAGATGAGGCAGTACTGTGTTTGAATTCAGGGCCTCATGCTTGCTAAGCAGGTGCTCCATCCCTTGGACCACTCTATCAGCCCTTTTTTGTGTTGGGTATTTTTGAGTTAAGGTGTTGAGAACTATTTTGCCTGGGATGGCTTTGAATCACATTCCATCCTGATCTCTGCCTCCTGAGTAGCTAGGATTATAAGCATGAACCACCAGTGCCACACCCACAGCCTATATTCTTAATCAGCATGACTGGCCACAAGGTTGCTACTTAACAGATACTCCTATGCTCTCAGACTGAAATTATAACAAAGAACTGTAGTAGTGATTGTGATGGAATGCTATAAAAGGTATAAATGTAGGTGAATTTGAGATGCACAAGAAACTGCAGAGAAGTCTTCCAGGTAGAAGTGACATTTAAACTAAGAACTGAAGAATAAACAGGATTAATCAAGATTTAAAGTGACAAAGAAAAGATAGGCAAAGGGAACCAGCAATAACCAAGACCTAGACATTGAATATGTGTAGTGTTTTTTTAAGAGGTTCCAAGTATTCTATGCAAGTTTTATATCACAGAGCACATTAGTCAAAAGAGCCAAAGGTATGATTCTATTCTGTTGACAAACAAAAAAAGACCATTGCCAGTATTTAAAGTAGTGATTATATGATAAATTGAGTATTTAGTAAAGATTAAACCATTGGTTGCAATACACAAGTGCATGGACGCAATACTAGGAATCTCTCTAAGCTATCTTTTATCTCAAACTAGCAAAAACACTGTGCGTCTTTCTTATTATCTCTATGCTTTCTCTTCAACAAAATCAGAAAACAAGAGGGTGGAACAGGTTCTACCCAGAAGTGGGGAGGAAGGGGATGTGGCCCAAACAATGTATACACTTTTAAGTAAATGTAAAACCGATAAAATAAAAAGTCAATTTTTACAAAAAGAAGTTATATGTTCACATATGATGAATTGGGCACTGGTGGTTCATGCCTGTAATCCTAGCTATTCAGGAGACAAGAAAATCAGGAGGGTAGTGGTTGGAAGCAAACAGTTTGCAAAATCCCTATTTCGAAATAATACCCAACACAAAAAGGGCTAACAGAGTGGCTCAAGTCGTTATAGTGCCTGGCCTAGCAAGAGTTGAGGCCCTTGGAATTCAAACTTCCAGCACCACTAAAAACAAAAAGCAGGCAATTAATGGATTTGAATTTTGAAAATTTCCTAGTTAATAGTGGTTGAATCCTGAAAAACACTGATGGCTGGCCACCTTTTCTCTCAGAGTCCACAAGGACAGTTCTGATCAAGAAGGCAGCTCCCAACTCTCACACAGCCTTGGAGCTTCAGGGAGTACCTGCAGGGGGGTTGGCAAAGGTTTTTTGTGGAAGAGGGTCCTACTCTCTTGCATGTTAAATTGTGAGACATGCAACCAAAGGATGGGGAGTGGAGTGGTTTACCAGCTGGGACAGCACAGACTGTGGAGGGCCCCGGAGACCACAGAAGCCCTAGGTGGGCCACTTGAAGGCATTTAAGTGGGGAGAGAAGGCCTGAGGATGAGGACAAATTACGTCATTGGTCTTTCTGGTGACCTGTTCTTCATCTAGGTGGATGTTTTAGTTTTGTGTTCCAATAAACTGTGTGCCAGAAGCTGGGATTTGGATGACTGCCACAGGATATACTTGCACACATAGCTCCATCTGCAGGAGAGCAGCGTCACTGTCAACCCAGGTCCTTCTCTGTCAGCTCATATTAAAATACCAGACAGAAAAAAGAAAAAAAAGCCCTAAAAAGAAGAAGAACATTAGCCCAATAGATACATTAAAAATGTGTCAAGGATCAACCCAACCTATCAAAAACAATATTACTTCATATTTGTACATTGCCATTTTGGTTTATACCACTTCAATCTAGGTTTATCGTAAATTCTGATTTCAAACTTTCTTTTTTTTGTTTGTTATTATTCATATGTGCAACAAGGCTTGGGTCATTTCTTCCCCGGCCCGCCACCCCTTCCCTTACCACCACTCCACCCCCTCCCTCTCTTCCCCCACCCCCTCACAGTACCCAGCAGAACTATTTTTGCCCTTATTTCTAATTTTGTTGTAGAGAGAGTATAAGCAATAATAGGAAGGGAACAGGGTTTTTGCTGGTTGAGATAAGGATAGCTATACAGGGAGTTCTCACATTAATTTCCTGTGCGTGTGTGTACCTTTCCTAGGTTAATTCTTTTTGATCTAACCTTTTTCTCTAGTTCCTGGTCCCCTTTTCCTATTGGCCTCAGTTTTGCTTTTAAGGTATTTCTGCTTTAGTTTCTCGTGGTTAAGGGCAACAAATGCTAGCTAATTTTTTAGGTGTCTTACCTATCCTCAACCCCTCCCTGTGTGTGCTCGCTTTTATCATGTGCTCAAAGGTCCATCCCATTGTTGTGTTTGCCCTTGATCTAATGTCCACATATGAGGGAGAACATACGATTTTTGGTCTTTGGGCCAGGCTAAACCTCAGAATGCATGTTCTCCATTCCATCATTTACCAGCAAATGATAACCATTTCGTTCTTCTTCATGGCTGCATAAAATTCCATTGTGTATAGATACCACATTTTCTTA